ACGGAGCAGTTTCGTCAGGTCCTCAGCACCAAGCGCATGAACGAACTCACATCACGCTCATCTCAATCGCGCTCCTCATCGCCCGCACCGAGGGATTTCGGCACTCCACAGCCGCCGCCATCGCAGTCTGCCCCGCCCACGTACGCTTCCATCAGGAACATCCCCCTCGTCCCTGAGGCGCCTCGCGATGCGCGCTCTCTCCGCTTCAAGAACATGCTGCACTCACTCTCCAACATGCCCGTTCGATGGGAGAACCCCGGACTCCTCGATGAGGCCCTTCGCGTCATCCCGCTCGAGCAGATCTACAACGAGGCCGAGGAGGAGAGCCAAATACTGCAAGCCGAAGCTGAGAGCATGGCTGCCGGCAAGAAGGCCGCTTGGGGCTACCAGGACTGCGTTGTCCGCGCACTCCTCCGATGGTTCAAGCGATCCTTCTTCTCGTGGGTCAACAACCCGCCGTGCTCGCGATGCTACTCACCAACCGTTGCCGTTGGCATCACTCCACCACTACCCGACGAGCAAGCACGTGGCGCCAACCAAGTAGAGGCTTACCAATGCTCACACGAGGCCTGCAAAAACTACGAGCGCTTCCCACGATACAACGACGCATTCGTCCTGCTGCAAACACGCAAAGGCCGATGTGGCGAGTGGGCCAATTGCTTCAGCATGCTCTGCCGCGCCGTCGGCTCAAGAGTACGCTGGGTCTGGAACGCAGAGGACCACGTCTGGACCGAAGTCTACTCTGTACACCGCAAGCGATGGGTACACGTAGACGCTTGCGAAGAGGCATGGGACAAGCCCCGGTTATACACTGATGGTAAGTTGCTTCTTCCACACTCACACCTTTCATCTGCTAATCATCTTCTCAGGCTGGGGCAAGAAGCTCTCCTACTGCATCGCCTTCTCAGCTGATGGTGCCATGGACGTCACCCGTCGCTACGTCCGCGACGCTAAGCACGCTGCTGAGCGCAACCGCGCACCAGAGGCAGTCCTCCTCCACATCATGGACGAAATCCGAGCAACACGCCGCGCCAACATGTCCAAGCAGGACAAGTTCCGTCTGCAGGGTGAAGACATCCGCGAAGCCAAAGAGCTCCGCCAGAGCGTCATCTCATCCATTGCACACGCTGTCAGCAAACTCAAGCCCGAAGACATTATCAACGCTCAAGTCACCCGCCGCCTAGACCCCGATGCCCAGAAGGCATTGGAGGGCCGCATGAGCGGCAACGCCCAATGGATACGAGCGCGCGGCGAGGGTGGACAGGGTCAACAGAACCAGCAAGACCCTCGAAACCAGCACCCGCGCTGAACGCATCCGCCATCCCACCTTCCATTCACCACTCCCGGTATCTTTCCATCGCGCCATGCCTACAACGTAAGCCGAGTCAGCAGGGTGCGCTGCACCTAGCTCTCGAGCATGTAGAGCCCGATAGACGACGAGATACCCTTCCGACATACCCCCGCAACATTCGTTACGCGGACGACACTCCCGCTTGTATAACACAGAGTCTTTGATTCTTGGTCATTTCGATTCATTTGCGCCGGCGTTCCAGGAGCAGCACGCAAGAGACATGCGATATCTTTTAATGTCTGCACCCACCTCGGCAGAGGCTTTTCTATTGTTCCCGCATCACTTTGGCGACCGATTTCACTGCTTTACTGCATTCTTCACTTCATCTTTCCGTGTGCACGCGGGGTTTTGCGGCACTGTTTATACCATTTTGCCATTTTGGATTACGACTTGCGATATCTCCTATGTCTTTTCTGTATGTTTACGAGCATTTTGGCACTTGTACGCACGACGTATGAGCTTCACGTTTAGGTATTCGTCGCACTGCACAGTTTTGAGAATTGGAGGTGTTGTACACGGGCGCGGTGGGGATCCGTGGCAGAGAGCTGATGTGTACGGTGTACGAGGGGTCGACGCGCGTCCCGCCCAAGATGCAGAGCTTACTGCAGCATTAGGGCGGTGGATGCAAGATAGAAAATCAGAGCCAGATTGGCCATGTTTCTGCAAACCACATGAACACTTCATCTCAACAACTTGCGTGATTGTGACATTGTGCGCGACTAGGGCGGAAGCTGATCAAAGTCGGTACCTAGGTATGTGAAAGATTTGCGGGGACGCGCGTTAAGAGTACGCAGGCTGGGTCAGGAACATGGCAAGTGATCTCCAGGGTCCACCCTTCGACATTGAAACATGCCTTCCACACACGTCAAACCGAGGAAGAAACCATGATGCAAGAAAGCAAACGTCATGTCTCATGGCAGTCATTCTCTCGAACATCTCACTCCAGCGAGAACGAGCGATGGCACGAATCATGCACGATCAGCATCGTGACAGGCGGGCCGTTCGTTTCTCCAGCTCTTTCCTAGAGAGGCTAGAGCGCGATGCTGTGCAGAGAAAATGTCTAAAAATAACAAAGGAATCCAAGTGTGTGATGACCGTCAGGCCCTACGCCAAGTGATTCTCAAAGTTCAGTGACGAGGAGTTGTGAGGCTCTGTCGCTGTGCCTCTGCAAAGTTTTGTCGACTAAGGGCAGTTTAGGCGCGGACCCAAGGCAGTGGTGGTTGGTAATTGTGCGAGGTACTGCCGTCGTTCTTCCGACTGCTGTCTTGTCGGGTAGCGTTTGGCCGAGCTGACGGTAGCTGGGAGGGCTGAAACGACTATATCAGGTTTCGTCCTTGATAATCAAGTATATGTTTGGAGTGTTGGATAAGTCAGGAATGCAACTTTGGCATCGCAACTGTGCATGCTGTAGTGAACGAGGCACATTGCCATTTGTTCATGCTTCAACTGATCAGAAGACACCTTCGTGGCACTCGGCACCGATATAGCACCGTACCCAGGCCTGGCAACACGCACTCTCGCCGGCAGTGCTTTGCGAATGCCAACAGTACACGCACTATCCTCCGCAGCAGAGTTGTGTCAGCAATCCAAGGCCGTCACAATCCACCTCAGTCGCAAGCCCACTGAGGCTGGTGAAGACTAACCCAGGATCAGCCACTTTTGGCCCCGCTGCGCACAGACCCTATGACCCCAAGCTGTGTGGCCGCTCAGCCCCCTTCGGCTGGGCACTTTGCCTTGCGCATTTCAGCTCCGCGTTTGAGGTAGTTTGTACAAAAGCTTGTGGCGGCCCACTGGATTGTCGCACTCATCGTTCTGTCGTTTGACGTTTAGCCTTGTTCACCATAATCACATCCACGGGTGACTCCACTGCAACCGCGGATTCACGATCGCTACTGCCAGCCTTTTGACTCTGTTTCCTGAGTGACATCAGTCAGCCTTACTCGGTTACCACTAAACACCAAATCAACAACAACAACCGCAACCGCAACCGCAAACATGGGCAAAGTCGGGCGCTTCGCGTGTATCCTCACGCCTATGTGCCTTACCCTCGCTTCTTTAATATGCTTCATTATCGTCATGCTGGGCCAAACGCCATGGTCTGGCAACAACGCCCCAGCAACAGCCTTGGGGCGCGATCTCTACTTCTTCAAGGTACGTCTTCTCCCAGCCTTGCGCATGAATACAACTAACACCCTGACAGGCAGACACGAGTAAATTAGTCGAGAACCCCGAGAACTTTTTGGACAAGATCCCCGACGGCATCACCCCCGACGCTGCGGAAAAATTCCTCGACGCCCTCCGAGGCAAGATGGACGCCAAGGAACTCAAGGACTTCTACCAGGTCGGCCTCTTCTCCTACTGCGAGGGCGAGAAGGATGCGGAATCCGGCAAGGAGACCATCACATACTGCTCAGCGCGCAAGTTCCAGTTCCACTTCGATCCTCTCGCTATCTGGGGGATGAACGGCACCAACATTCAAGAGGTCCTCGGCGACAAGTACGACAGCGGCATGAACGCGTACAAGAAGGCTGCTGGCTGGATGAACTGGGCTTTTGTCATCACGATTGTGCTCACGGCTGTCGAGTTTGTCATTGGTTTCTTCGCCATCTTCTCGAGATGGGGCAGTCTTGTTACTACTGTCGTATCTACCGTACGTCTTCCCCAAGCCCAACTCCCCACATAATCTCCATACTAACAACCTCCTCAGGCACAAACCCTTTTCGCCATCGCCGCCGCCGGAACCGCGACAGCCATCTACGGCACCATAACCGGCGTCTTCAAGACGGTCCTCGAGCCCTACAACATCAAGGCTTCCATGGGTAGCCAGATGCTCTCGGTTCTCTGGCTCGCAGTCGCCTTCTCCATCGGTTCTGGCTTTTTCTGGCTTATCAGCGTATGCTGCTGCAGCGGAAAGAGCAGCCACAAGAAGATGGTGGTGGAGAAGACCCCATACACCTACGAGAGGGTTGCGTCGCCGGCGTTCGGCCAGCAGGGTCATCAGATGCAGCAGTGGCCTAGCAGCCAGAAGCAGACGCCGCCTACGGGTCAGCCTACCGCTTATGAGCCGTTTAGATCGCGCGTCTAAGTGGTGGGAAGCTTTGGAAAATTAGGTTGAGGGAATGTTGTAGGAGTGAGGACGCTGGTTCTTTGACGACATGTACGACCATCTTGTGGGAATCTTTCTGGGTTACTTGTATACCCCATGGCGTTTACTATAGCATTATCGTGATTTGGCCCAATGTGGCTTTGGGGTTTGGGTCGCTTTGACATATTGGAATGGATAGCATCAAATACCATTTACATCAATATTAAGTCAAATATCTTCGTTGTTATATTGTCTTTGTAAGGTGTAATGGTCAGTCACGTCAAGTAGAGTTGTTCCTCAAACTGTACCCTCGCTACGTGCCTTTCCTGTCAATTCTACATCTTCCAGCAAGACAATGCACTGAATTTGAGCATTTGTATTTTAGCATAACTGCATCGCTATCCACGAGAAACGAGCATCACCATGGTCAAGAACGCAGCAGACTAAGCATAGAGAAGCGAAAATGACAAAAACAAAATAGCCAATTCATCGCATCAGATTAGGTATCTCTTTGTACATCTACCCCTCTTGTAAATCCACCAACTATCCTAACACACACGCCCCTTACTGCTCATGCGTACCCACAAACCTCGGAGGAAGATCCAAATCCCAACTCGGCCGTTCCACAAGCACCACCTCGGGCGCGTGGAAGCTATCATCACCGCTGATGGGAACAATGCCGAGTATGGGACGGTACTTGAATGTGTGCCACCACGGCTCATTCCGCTTGCTTTGCTCGACTGCTCCGACTTCTCCTCCACCATTCATTAGTTCCTCTCCTGTCTCGCCGTTTGTTTGCTCAGCCCCTTCCTGGGTGTTTGCTCTCCGTAGGATGGTGAGGGGTTGGCTGGTGTTCTCCACATCATCGTCGTCTTCGGCATCGGGCTTGCGACGTATGGCGTTGACGTCCATCCACTTCTGTCTTCCAGCTTTGTCTGCGTCGTCGCTCTGGAACTTGCGCATCTTGGTGACGGGTGCTTCCTTCTGAGGAACTGCGTCACCGGCACCGCTGTTGTTCTTGAGAGCGTCGCGCTTCCGCTTCTTGCCTGCGTGGTCGGTATCTGAGATTGTGAAGTCTTTGGTCAGGTCGAACATGAACAGCCACTTCTCACCATACAGCCATAGCCGTTGTTGGGATTCTGTTACGTCCCAGATGCAGCCCTTTGCGGGTAGGTCGACTTGTTTGTACTCGTGGGGATAGCTGGAGGGTGGATTTCGTCTTGACCATTCTGATAGCCGGCCGGACATGACGTCAAAGAGGTAGAGCTGGTGCTCGGCAGAGACCAGCAGAAGTCGGTAGTCTGCTGTAGGCAGCTCGTGCGAGTGGGGATGAGGGTTGTGTCTGGTTGGGTGCACCGCAGGATTGCCATTCGGCTCTGGTCGGTTGGAGGCGTCAGAGCTGGGCTGGAAGGAGAGCAAGACAGGCGTTGAATCGAGTCGGGGAAGCAAATGACCAGATGGGTTCCGTATCCAATGCTGACCCAGGTAGGTTATTTGTTCCCGTGATTCTTCCTCGTCATCGGAGTCATCATCGTCATTGGCAGCAGGTGTAGTGTCGTCAATGTCAATCTCTGGTGCAGTTGTGTCTTCGTTCCCTTCCATCACCCATGTATCGACGTAGCCAGCCAAGTCAACGACAGCGAAGACGTTACCGTCCTTGGAGAAGTCGGCATGTGCAATGGATCGTTCGTAAGCCCCCGAGGGCCCGCTGAGAGGACTCTGTGTAGACATGTCGCGATCAAGTCGGTAGAGGGGCTGTACTTTCTCAAGCGCGCGAGGTGCATCTGCGGGATCGTCTGTTCGCACAATTCGGACCAGCTGAATTTCGTCTGTCGCCATGACCGCTGCGAGCCATTTGCCGTTGGATGACAACTTGAGAGTCTTTGCGCCAGAGATAGAAGGCATCTCTAGCCTGCGTACACGCACGGCTCCTGCGTGCTGCAATAGGTGGAACAGCTTCACCGTGCTGGCTGTCGCCACGGCGAGAAGTCCACCATCTCTGGAGATAGACACAGAGATAATGTTCTCCTCTCCCTGCAGAGCAAGGCGTGCAACCACCTTGGGCTTCTCCGTACCATCATCTTGAGGCTTGACGCGCCATATCCGCACTTCGGTGCTCCACCAGCTGACTAGTAATCTTGCATCCGGGGCGCTCGTTAACGGGGGTGTAGGGGGCAATGCTGGAAGACCTCGACTAAGCTCCTTGCCAAATGTGCGGATTGGAACGACGATGGGCTGGGTGTCGATACCTAATATGCATGTTAGTTGTGAGCTGAGCAGAATGATCAAGTTCTCGTACCTCCTGTGACCACCACGCTCAGCTTGTTGCCCTCGTAGGTTGTCATGGCCTTGACATCGTGCTCGTGGTGCCTCTGGTGTGATACCTTTCGCCATTTTCCGCTCTGTCCTTGAGCCTGACCCTTCTTGCTTGTGTAGAAACAGGTGCGGCGGTCCATGCCTGCACTGAAGATGCTGGTTCCATCGCGGGTAACGGCGAGATCGAGCACGTCGGCTTCGTGTCCAGAGATCCTCTGAGTTTGACTGTAGTTCTTGCCGCTGTAGATTCGGATGTCACCAGTAGAGTCTCCCGACACGAAGTCGCCGTTTGACAGACATTTGACCTTCCATACTAGGATTTCCTTTGGCCCGCCATGGGGGCCACTTCCCAGAGAGATGTTCCGAATCACATTTCCACTCCTTGTGTCAAAGACCCGGATCATGCTGTCCGCGAAACCAGCCAGTACTGTATGCTGGTCCTTGTATGTGATGCTCAAGGCACGCGCCTTCTTATTCGTCGCGCGGGAGACGAAGCGCTCGAAGGTGAGATCGTTATCGTCGGTAGATAGAAGAACAATTGTGCCGTCAGCACAGCCTGCCACAAGCTTCTGGCACGAACCGCTCTGCTCGTTCGAAGCACCCTTGGCCGCGCTCTTCCTTGGCTGTGCAGCAAAGCACCAGACCTCGCTGTGGTTACCGTTCGAATGGCGCGCCGGAAGGCCTGTAGTGAGATCCCACTCTGTGACGCTGCTTGAGTACCCGATGCTGAAGAGACGCAGGCGGCCAGGCACCACCTTTCCATGCGCATCGCGCGTATCTGGCTCTTGGGTCCATGCCAGGCCTTCAACACTCCTGTCTTTGCCGCCATAGAAGACCTTCTCTTGGAGCCAGGAGCCTCTTGCAGGGTTCCATATCTCGATATTTCCGTTTGCGCGTCCAATCGCCAGTCTCAGAGAAACAGGATCCTGCTGTCCATGTTCAGCTTCCGGGTGCGAGAAGGCGAGCGCGTTGATCGCAGATGGCGGGTAGGGCACGAAGCGAGATCGATGGATGTCCATGGTGAATTTCGAGGGCTTGATCAAGCCTGGGGATTTGTGAAGCTGCGCGTACGTTTATGGAAGAGCGCTGGCATTACGATACTACACTCATTGTGACGGAAGAGCTCAGTCGCGAACTTCTCTCGAACTCTTGGCGAGCCGACTTTGACTTTTCGGTGGGTCCAGAGCACGGAGAAACATTCCTCCTTAACGCCGACGACCTCCGCATCAACTCCGCAACTGCATCACGATGCTTTCAACTCGAACGGCTTCTGTTGGCTCAACGCCTCTCACAGAAAGCGTTTGGTCGTTCACATACATACCAAGAGATGATTGATCACGATTAGGTCCCTAAAACCTTGCCGAGTCCGACGCCCGGCGTCCTCGTACCACACGCTCCGATCCGCCCTTGTCCAACGCCAGAACCGAATCCTCCTGCCTACAAGAATGCATTTGATGCAATGAGGCGGTGGATGAAGACAACGGGCGATATACAGGTCTCGCTACCTTGCATGCGGTTGCGAACCGCAAACTAGGCTGCCTATACCTCCAGGGGCTGCTAGGTGTAGAGGCGGCTACCGCTCGGGGACGGAGCATAACAGATGTTGCTACAAGCCTTCGCCGCTGGTATCACAGAAGGACGAACACGATGCGGAGATAATTAAGCAATGTGCAGAGGATGGATTTCTGGTGAACACGGGTCTCTGTGGTAGTACCATAATGTGAAAGGAGCTTATTCTGTGGGTGGTATCCCCAAGCATCAAGACATATCTTAGAGGTACCTGCACGTTGAGCCCTACACTCTTGTCTTGAAAACAAAGCACAGTGTATACCTTGAAGACAGTTGTTATGTGTTGGATACAACTAATGTAGGACGAGCTTTTTCTTCTACGCAGGTGTGAACGACCTCAACAAGCAGATGTTCATCTGTTGACTCTATGCATTTTTAATCATCTATCGTAGATTGTGACCTTGCGACAAATCAAGATACGTTGGATTCTTGATCAACGCGTGAGTGTTGCATGTGGCTTGCTGACAACGTTGAACTAATGTTCCGGTGGTTCAAAACCGCCTCAAGTCTTCTGACAAGTCGTATGTTGGAGATTGCTCCGGCAATATTGCGCGAGTCAAAACTAGCTTTGCCGGGCCATGTGCGGACCAAACTCAATGTCTTCATGCTCACGTCACGACAAAACCGTTTGCAGAAGCGTTGGCACGTTAACGCTCATCGGGAAAATGCATCCCTTCGTACGGGTGGAGGCTGCATTGTTGCGCCGCAACGACGTTGAGGTTTCTTTTTGGTTGAGTTATTGGCGAAGCTTTGATACATGGCTTGACTTGTTCACATAAGTTGCGCAATAATAGTAACATAAGGATCTCCAGGGGCTGGCTTGAGATGGCAACTCCGCCTAGACCCAGGTACTGGGCTGAGTCAAGACGACCTTCAGGCCTAGTCTTTCCCAGGGTTTCATGGTCCATGACAATGGTGGAAGACGGCGCGCACACGGTACGCGTTAAACGTGTGACGCGTGAACGCCCAAGGGGCTTTGCAAGACCCAAGACGCGCTGAGAAGCAAATATCGGGATGATCTCGCGATGAAGCAGAAGTCGAACCTTGGAAATTTCAAGGCGAGAGCTTGGACCGTCCGGCGGGGTATGTCGTTATTGCGGCGGGCCTCATCGTCCGTGGAACGCAAGTCAGTTACTCCGTGCGAAAAGACTGGTTGCAACCGTCTGGATCCGTTACTGCTCATGGTGCTTGATGCAGAAGAGCGGATGTTGAGTATTGAAACATGCAGTGTGGTCCCGCAGCCACATCCAGAGACGTTGAAAAGTTTGCTCGTCGCCGTCGTGCAAGCATGCACAGATCTTTTGACAAGTGCATGCGGTGTCCGGGTAACGCCTTTAAGCGATGAAGCTCCAGATTAGCATGCCTCCATGACGAGCTGCACGCAGCACCGGGTCACAGTTCTGCGGGCCTCGGCGCAGCGTTGCTGCGGAAAGCGCTTGACATTTGGTCATACCGACAATCTTTCTCCTCACCAGGTCCGCTTCTTGAAAGAAAAGTCGGAGCAAATTTGCTGACAATGAGCTGGATGTGAGGATCGGCCCACTTGAAGGCTGTCCAGCGCCGTGAGAGCGTCCGACCGAGGCAGGCGTGCACGGAGTAGGATCAGAAAATAGCCTGGGTTTGTCGCGTGCGCACAGCTCAGGTACTTTAAGACGCGTTTCTTCGCGACTGTGACATAATGCCTGGAAGCCGGACGTGCTGAGGTGCATTGGTGGCTGGCGATGGTACAGTTGCGGATGTCGGCTGGCCACTAGCTGCAGCAACGACGTGAAGCACTATGTTAGAGCAGGCTTCAATGCGGAGTTGCCGGGTTAGGATCTTCCTTTTTTACTCAGATGATGAACGCGAAAGATCACGCTAAGATCCGTCGTCGCGAGATGATGGGCCCAGCCGCCTGTCAATAACCGAAGCCGAATCACAGCACGCGTGCGAAGGGAGTTGCGAAACGGCCGTGGATTGTGATGATGCAGTTGGACGGCGGAGCTAGATAGGTTTGGCAGGTAAACTATCCGCGGCATCATCATGTCGATAGACCTCGCCGTTCTCGCGATCCTCACGTCAGTTGTGGAGTTCGGCCGTATATGCTTGCACGACGTGGAGACGGTTGTTACTTTGTGATGCGGCCGCGCAGAGCTGAGGCTCGCTAAGTCTGAGGCGCACCTTCCTTACTCAAGATCGTACATGCATGAACGCGTCTGCGCACATGTTTGCGTCAACGCGCTTTTGCAACATCGAAGCGCTGCAGGAAGTGACTCGTTTGCATGCGGCACAACCGACCTCGTAATAGGAGGACGGTCGTATAAGCAAACCCCGCCATAATCCCGCTGGTTAGCAAGGGAAGGTCAAGTCCGGGCTATGGCTGATTTCTAGAAACTATGCGGTGGAGGCTTGCCAAACCCACGGACCTGCGCACAGCGAGTTAGGAGAATTGGCAATCTCAGCAGCTAACTTAGGCTCCGACACGCGTTGCTAGCTGATGCTACTAAACACGTGGATCATCGGGCAGAGGCACTAGCAACTACTATCGTCGAAACACCAAGGGCATTACGAAACGATGAGTCCAACGGTCAGGCTGGCGGCTTCGGTATGGGGTCTGTGTCGCACAGTACATGTCGTGCCAGGGTCCCCTATTGAGTAATCTGCCATGCAGAGAATGGTGAGCAGAGTGCGGTGTCGGCCAAGGCTCACGAGTCTCCAGAATTTACTCCTGAGTTTCTGAGATTTGCCATGTGGAGCCGTGATGCGCATGTCGAGGACGCGACTGAGGCGACCTTGGGCGGTGATGGCGGTGCGACGCGTGACAAGGATGCAGCGTGCCGACAGGCGTCGTCTGCAGCGTTGATGCGCTCCAACAAAGGAGAGGCTGAAGATGGGCTAATTATGACATGACCTCAGCTTCCTATAGCATGCCAGGGGAACCACGACTCTGGCGCAGGCATGTTTGGGATGCAAGCAGCGAGAGCGGCGGCCACAACGCCCTATGCAGGTCTTGGCCGTGTGCAAAGCAAGTTGTTTCCTGTGCGCAGGCGAGGGCGACATTGGACAGCGATCGTAGGCTATCCTGCAACCTTGTATAGCTGCATGAGTGGCCTCACCGGCGCCCTGGCAGGGCTCTAATTCGAGCGGGGCCAGGCGAAGATTACAGCCACGGCGCTGCTCAGAGCGTCGGTGCCGCGTTGAGAAAAGCAAGTGCAGAGCGAGTGCAGCAGCGAGTATTGGTGCGAGCAGAGTGTAGTCAGTCCTACGCTGCAGTCAGGCCCGGTGTGCAGCACGGCGGGCACAGCAGCGGGTGCGCGCGACCGCGACGGGAGCAGCACCGCACCGGGGCTGGGCGTGGTGGTGATGGTTGCGGAAGACACGGGACTAGGACGCGTTCAATGAGCGTGTTCCTGGCCGAAGCTTCCCAGACGCAAAAACGCCATAGTTGATCCACAATGGGGCACGACGGCGGCGGAATACGCATCGGCTGGCTGGGCGCTGTGGGCGTATCAAGTTCCCTGTTCCCATGCTGTGCGAGTTGCCGTGTGTCAGATGCGGTTAGCGCCAACCTCCTAGGGCTTTGCTCGCCCAGTCGTTTTCTCCAAGCTACGTCCGTCTGTATCGTGCTCTCCTCTCACCCTCTCTCCCTCTTCTCATATCTCTCTTTCACCACGGTCGAGCACGGAGAAACTTTGGATCTGATGTGGTGCTGAGTGTTTCGGCTCCTATCTTTCCATAAAACTCCCCATCTCCTGCTCTCGGTCCCCTAAACCCGACCGCCGTCTCTCCTCGAATAGGATCGTGAAGAGTCCAGACTCCCTGTACCTTCCGCCCTCATTCATCCGCCGCCCTCCTACCTCGTCTCTCGCTGGACGTAGAGATAGCTGAGAACACGAACTCGCTGTACTCTAGTCCTTCGCTCTCTACACAGCTATCCACCCGATACCTGTACCATCAGCCTCGTGTGTGACGATTGAGCATCATCTCGGTAGGTCACTTGTTCCTTGTTTCTTGATTCCGGCGTTTTCCACCGATGCTGGATGTACTCACCCGAAGAACCCCCGGACCACTGGACTCGACAAAAAAGGCACAACCATCGAAGAACATTGGGATGATATTAGAAACATTGCGGGTATAGGCGGGAGAATGGGACGAGGACGACATGCAAGGACAGCATTGATTTGAGGGTCGGGCGTGTGTGTGGGCGAAGAAGGGTTACGGACAAAGGGCGTTCAGCCACGAACCCAACCATCGGACCACTGCCTCAGCAACCTCGTAAAGAACCCGTCTCGTCGGAACTGCCACGCTTCACCCCAGTATTGCGCAATCTCGGATCCCGAAGTCCTGTGACGTCTGCTCTTTCACTCATGTGGATGAACAATGGATGTGGATATGGAGTGCAGCAGTGGCCGATATAACAGTCGTATGCCCCTTGGCAGCTTGGCTTCGTTATCGTGACAGCTCAGACGTC